GCGCGGTGCATCATGGGAAATATCCCATAATGCACCGCGCGAGCCCCCCACCGGGGTCACGTGACTTCGTGGGGAGGCACGTGACCCCCCGAGGTCACGTGACCCCCCGAAGTCACGTGACTCCCCTGAGGTCACGTGACCCCCTCCTCGAGGTCACGTGACTCCCCTGAGGTCACATGACCCCCTCCTCGAGGTCACGTGACCCCCGCCGATGTCGCGTGACCCCCGATGACGTCATCGACACTGATGACGTCACCGGCATCCACATCGTCATCGTCATCATCACTGATGTCATCATCAGTGATGACGATGACGATGCGGATGCCGGTGACGTCATCAGTGATGATGACGATGACGATGTGGATGCCGGTGACGTCATCAGTGATGATGACATCAATGATGATGACGTCATCAGTGACGATGACGATGTGGATGCCGGTGACGTCATCAGTGATGATGCCGATGACGATGCGGATGCCGGTGACGTCATCAGTGATGATGACGATGACGATGTGGATGCCGGTGACGTCATCAGTGATGATGACGATGACGATGTGGATGCCGGTGACGTTACCGACATCCGCATCGTCATCGTCATCATCACTGATGACGTCATCAGTGACGTCACTGACGTTGTCACCGGCATCCGCATCGTCATCGTCATCATCACTGATGACGTCGTCAGCGACGTCACTGATGACGTCACCGACATTCGCATCGTCATCGTCATCATCACTGGTGAAGTCATCAGTGACGTCACTAATGACGTCATCAGTGACGTCAGTGATGACATCATCGGCATTGGGGGTCACGTGACCCCCCAAGGTCACGTGACCCCCCCTGGTTAGTCTAACCCCCCCCCCCCCCCCCCCCCCCAGCGCCCTTCCCTCCTCCTCAAGAGCTGCGCTCCAATTCGGCGTTACAGGGAGTTGTAAGCGGCTTTCACTTTTTTTTACATACTGTGTAAGCTCACGGGCACTCCAGTTTGAATAAATGCGAAGTTGAACAGGGTATTACCGAAGAATCACGCAAGTGGTTTCTAGCTATGTTTAGCCTCCATTACCAACGCGGGAAGTGGTGTTCGATGCTGTAGTAATACGATAAAAATATTGTGATGCGTCTTCATCGTCGTCATCGGGCACAATCATTATCATCGTTGATGGCCTGTGCTGCCCGATAGGGCAGCGAGTGTCAGTTCAGACAAACACCGTAGTGACTAGTCGCAGGGTCTCTGTGTTTTTCGCGATACCACTATTACAGCATTCCCATTATTTATAATGTGAAAGTTAAATCTGGAAGTTTGAGCACGATGTATTTTTATTGGTGACGACATTGCAATAAACCAATGAAGAACCGACACGACAAGTGGGCGCAAGCACCACGGGCGATGTTCGATTTTGGTGAGGAGGCCGGAAATGTGAATCAAATTATCAAGATGTAAACACTCCGAAGACTTACGGGTGCTGCAGACGATGATGCAAGAGAGAGCTACGCACCACATCGCACAAAAAGCAGACCAGGCACGTGTACGTTTGCATCCACTCCTGCCTCTGGACACTAATAATGTCATTCTACCAAAGCCGCTGTCATAACGTCATACTTTTGTTTCCTACTCACTGGCGATCCACTCAATACAGCCTTTAAGTGCCGTTCACACATATGCAACCGAGTAAACCGAGAGAGACCAGACCGGTCTTTAAGCCTCTTGCGACGTCTGAGGACCTGCTCCGCTGCAGCGGAGCTGGTCCTAAGAACCTATGCGGCGAACACTTATCTAAGAACCTAAGAACCTATAGTCCTATGCGGCGAACACTTACCACGTTATTCGCTTTTCGTGCGCTAGTTTTCGAAATTAACGTGCGTACGCAAAAAGTGTTTGCGTTTCTCCGAGGAGGATTCGCGAAGCGCAGGAAGCTCAGTAGAGACCAGACCAGCACAGTTAAAACATGGTGGCTGCCAGGACCGCGGCGGCGACCGCTTTGGCGGTCGTCTTGAGCGCGACGTCGGCGGCCTCCTTGCGACTGCGATTTTCAATACAGGACGAAATAGCAGCCCTACGGGAGGTGCACGTCACTAGCACTTTAGAAGGCCCAGCAAGGTGGGTAGCGATCGCCAGCACCTTGCTGCTTGCGACGCGCGTATATTTCTCGATGAAAGCAGCGAAGGTACGATGTGCGAAGGTCGGTACACGAGGCCTCTTTCCGAGGCGGCGCAAGCGGTCGGACACCACCGGTCGACCGTTCACGTTTTAGAGCGCAGCTCTTAGGGGCCCGTTCCCGGCTTGAGCGGCGTCGGCGTCGCCGTCGGCGTCGCCGTTGGCGTCGCCGTCGCCGTCGGCGTCGGCGTAACCAAGGTCATCCCAAGGTCACGTGACCCCCAAGGTCACGTGACCCCTCCCAAGGTCATCTCAAGGTCACGTGACCCCACGTGACCCCCTGAAGGTCACATGACCCCTAAGGTCACGTGCCCTTGGGGGTCACGTGGGGTCATCTTGGGATCACGTGACCCCCAAGGTCACGTGACCCCTCGAGGTCACGTGACCCCTTCCAAGGTCATCTCAAGGTCACGTGACCCCAAGATGAGCCCACGTGACCCTTTGAAGGTCACGTGACCCCCGAGGTCACGTGACCCCCGAGGTCACGTGGTCTCCTCCCCAAGGTCACGTGACCCCCGAGGTCAACCGAGTAAACCGAGAGAGACCAGACCGGTCTTTAAGCCTCTTGCGACGTCTGAGGACCTGCTCCGCTGCAGCGGAGCTGGTCCTAAGAACCTATGCGGCGAACACTTATCTAAGAACCTAAGAACCTATAGTCCTATGCGGCGAACACTTACCACGTTATTCGCTTTTCGTGCGCTAGTTTTCGAAATTAACGTGCGTACGCAAAAAGTGTTTGCGTTTCTCCGAGGAGGATTCGCGAAGCGCAGGAAGCTCAGTAGAGACCAGACCAGCACAGTTAAAACATGGTGGCTGCCAGGACCGCGGCGGCGACCGCTTTGGCGGTCGTCTTGAGCGCGACGTCGGCGGCCTCCTTGCGACTGCGATTTTCAATACAGGACGAAATAGCAGCCCTACGGGAGGTGCACGTCACTAGCACTTTAGAAGGCCCAGCAAGGTGGGTAGCGATCGCCAGCACCTTGCTGCTTGCGACGCGCGTATATTTCTCGATGAAAGCAGCGAAGGTACGATGTGCGAAGGTCGGTACACGAGGCCTCTTTCCGAGGCGGCGCAAGCGGTCGGACACCACCGGTCGACCGTTCACGTTTTAGAGCGCAGCTCTTAGGGGCCCGTTCCCGGCTTGAGCGGCGTCGGCGTCGCCGTCGGCGTCGCCGTTGGCGTCGCCGTCGCCGTCGGCGTCGGCGTAACCAAGGTCATCCCAAGGTCACGTGACCCCCAAGGTCACGTGACCCCTCCCAAGGTCATCTCAAGGTCACGTGACCCCACGTGACCCCCTGAAGGTCACATGACCCCTAAGGTCACGTGCCCTTGGGGGTCACGTGGGGTCATCTTGGGATCACGTGACCCCCAAGGTCACGTGACCCCTCGAGGTCACGTGACCCCTTCCAAGGTCATCTCAAGGTCACGTGACCCCAAGATGAGCCCACGTGACCCTTTGAAGGTCACGTGACCCCCGAGGTCACGTGACCCCCGAGGTCACGTGGTCTCCTCCCCAAGGTCACGTGACCCCCGAGGTCACGTGACCCCTCCCAAGGTCATCTCAAGGTCACGTGACCCCAAGGTGACCCCCCCAGGTCACGTGACCCCTCTGAGGTCACGTGACCCCTCTGAGGTCACGTGTCCCCTCCAGGTCACGTGACCCCCAAGGTCACGTGACCCCCTGAGGTCACGTGGGGGTCACCTTGGGGGTCACGTGACCTTGAGGTGACCCCCATGTGACACCCAAGGTCACGTGACCCCCAGGTCACGCCTCCCCGAGGTCACGTGACCCCCCTCCCCGAAGTCACGTGACACCTCCCCCGGAGCACATTAAAGAATGAGGGGAGGAGGAGGAGAAGGAGGAGGGGTCTACCCTCCCCTCAGTACCCTTCACTCCTCCTCCTCAAGAGCTGCGCTCCAATTCGGCGTTACAGGGATTTGTAAACGGCTTTGACTTTTTATTTTCAAATGTTAACAACTAAAATGTTACTTAGAATAATATATATATATATATATATATATATATATATATATGCTTTCACAAGTTACAGCATATTGTGTGTGAAATAAAATTTGTTACACTATATCCTGGTAGCGTTGCAGGCGCAAGATTATTGTGTTTTGGCGTCGCGGCGGCGAAACGCCATCTTAAAACCGTCTTGTGCAGCGTACGCTAACGCAAGCGGTAAGTTTCTCGCTAGCGTGCGTTACAAATGCGTAGGTTATCCTAAAGCTCCATTTAGGAAAATCTTTTTCACCTCGACGGAACAATGCATTTTAGCTTAGGCCGTAAGGCTAAATCCACCCTTTTATTTGTTTATAACTTAACCTCTTTCTCTCTTCTTTGGCTTTATATGTTTGTTACATTGTTATTATAAGTTAATTTCTTGTATTAATTTTTGAGATTAGAAAGTTAGACCGCCTGCAATGAATGTTTGTCTCCCTAAAAGTTATTGATATTTTTACGATTTAATTTCTAAAATGATTTTCGTTTTTTGCCATTATTATAAGAATTATAAGGTTTATTATCTGTAAAGACGAGAAATAAATACACTGAAAAGTGTCGGTAAAATCTTTTTATTTTGTGTATGAAAATGAATACCTGACGCTGATCAGAGTGCGTTCAATTAACCCTTTAAGCTTCGAAGAATTGGCATTTGTTGACATATGTTATCTTAGTGAACGTATCTTTTTATTCAATATAGTCTGCAGCATCTTCATAACACCTTAATCAGCCGAAGTTTCCAAATTTGCTTTCACTTAAACAAACAATTAGTGAGTGGTGGTTAGTTTTGTGGAATTGCTTGGTTCGATTACGACGGCCGGGCTTCAGGTTTTCTTCTTTTTACTCTTCCTCTTTTCCTGTTTCATAAGCGTTTATTAAATCCTTGATTTGTTCCTTATTTTTGTTAAAGAACTCTGTTGGGTAGCTGAAATAGACAAGAAACAAATGTAGTCTTACCTGGTTGAGAAATGATCTCTGCCGCCCTCTCCTTTTAGTTTTGCGTTCAAGTATTCTTGTAACTTTGCACTACATATAAGGAATGCACTATCCAGGTTTATTCATTATGAAGGTAACCATAAAAAAGAGTTTCAGGCAGCCAGTTCAAGTTTAAACGAAGACATCTTTGTAATTCAAAACGAAGATATAATTTCAATTAAAGTTTAAACAAATTTACGCTGCTGAGTGCACCATCCAATAAATAACACATAAAATTGGCATGGTGTAGCTTAAAAAGTTATGAACTGGTAATAAAAATTTACGTTTATAAGCTCTATAATGCGATGGAAAGCCCATTTAACGGTCTTTTTTTTTTTTACTAAATAATGCCCGATGACACAAACTTATAGTTTTTGTACACAATATATTTTAATGCTCTGGTCACACTATAAACTCGCTAACCTATACGCTTTAAAAAAAAAGCCTGTGCGTCTACTTTCACGCACAACACTCGGAGAACCAATCAGCGCAACTTACGGAGGTAGTTCAGCGAACGGCGATGCCGAAACATACGTTTAGACCCAAAAACGCAGTCTGAGTTGTGACATTAAGCAATGCAAAAGGTCACGCTTGCATTGCTTAATGTCACAACTCAGACGGCGTTTTTTGGTCTATACAGATGGTTCGGCATCGTCATTCGTTGTGCTGCCTCCGTAAGTTGCGCTGATTGGTTCTCCGAGTGTTGTGCGGGAAAGTAGACGCACAGACCTTTTTTTAGAGTGAGCGTAACTTCGAACGAAGAGTACTCTATAACATAAGCATTGCAACGCAGTCGTTTTGATGTTTAAATTATTTTCGTCAAGACTCTAGGCTTCATGGCCCAAATTGAAAGCGACAAAGACTATATATAAGTTACTTGAATGGCCACCGGCGCGTAACCTCTAGGGAGTAAACTATAAAATGCGCGGTAAACAATATTGTCCTTACTGTAACCCAGACTCAAATGTTTACATCTTATCGTTAAAAAAATGGCGGAAAAAGGGGGGTGAAGGCGTATCAGAGGGAGAGTGAGTTCAGCGAATTCCGAAACTGTCTTGTCACCACAACACGTGCTCTCGACTTCCTCGGCGCCACGCCATCGGCCAATCGGCGCTTTCACAGGTGTGCACACCGTTGGCTTGCTCGCGCGGTCATGGCGGTGACGGCACTTGAGGTACTCTGTCCTTTTGTGCGGCCTTCATTCATACTACGCGCTCCTGAGGGTCACCAGGGACACTCCAACAAAGAAAGGACGTCTGGAGAATCTGAATATATGGTTTACCTCGGGGAAGCTGCTTAGTTAACAACTTGTTCCCTGCTGATGAAATGTGGCGGTCGTCAACACAGGCTTATTGGCGCACGGAATGTAGGGTACCTTGGGTGAGTAGATTTTTTATCCCCTCCTCAGACGCGATTGGCTGAAGCTACTTTCTAAGCTTCGCTGGTGGAACTTCAGTCTGCGGGAACATAATGGTACATGCCACAACTTTAGCTTTATGTTTAGATCTGGGGCGAGGACCAGTTCTGTTGTGCCTGGCATTTTCCGTTTCTATGCGTGCGCACATGATATCTAGACTCATATCTTCGTCGCCGTCAAGTGTTGTGTTTACCTTATGTAAAAAATATGTTTTGCTTTGGCTGGCGAAAAATTGTATTGGCTTCTTAAAATCCATTCAACTGTTTTTCTTAAGTTTTGTGATTTGCTACTGCACAGTTTCAGGTGTTTCCGTCGGCTGTGCAGGTTTTTTACTATCACGGTGTTTGGCGGGATTTTATAGCGCAAGGACGTCAGAATATTTCGGGCCAAGTACACTTCCAGCAATACATTTATTTGTTCTTCCGCAACATACATCGATCAAAAAAAAAAACAAAAACGATGTTTGTTCGGGTAACTATCTACATCATGTAGCTAAAAAAAAAAAAAACATAGGGAAAAAAAATTAAGGTAGGTTCAGAAGGGGTCAAGTGTTCACCGACAGTGGGCGGTGGACCTTGTTTAGAAACATACACCGCTGAATTCATGCCGAAGTAGGTATATGAGTGGGAAGTGTACTCCAGTTCGCTTGTGATTTTTGCTCGTCAATGTTTTGACGTGTACGGCGAATGTTTGTGCAGGCTGGATTGATTAATATGTCATGGCTTAAATAGGACAAATTTGATGCGCGAGAACAGTTTAATTCGAGCTGTTGTTGGTATAGAAAAGCCCTCGTTTGAAGAAATTGCTTGCTTCAATAGAACTTCTTTGGTAGTTTATACATATTCATCAAGAATAATCCATTTCACTTAAAAAAAGAAGAAAAATAGCTTCACGAAATTATGCAGTACCCCTTTCCACACGCTCTTACCGCAGAAATGTTTGTATTTTACATGAAAACACGCGCGGCACCATTCAACACTTATAATCCTGTTTAGGGGTGCCACTGTCTGAATGTTCTACATGTCCTTAGGATATAAAAGCCCCGAGCGCTTAGTAAATACATTTTTCAGGCTATAGGAGACCGAGAAAACTGCGGTTCAGGATCGAAGATCGGGAGAACTCGCACCCGAAGTGCTTCCTGTACCCGTGATGAAGGCATCGTGATGTGTCACGCAGTCCATTACGCCACGCACTTCCACCACCCTCTTCATGGGAGCTATACCTCAAGAGCTATTTTGCTCTTAATACAGTGACTCCGAAAGATTGGTGAATAAAAAAACTTAAGAACCTGCAGTGTTCATGTGTTATAGACACCCCTTTCAAGGCCCGTTCACACGCTTGCGTTTGGCTACTACCGCGTGAGATAAAACCGGTTTTTAAGCCTCTTGAGTGGGGTTACGACTGGTTGCATTGCTGCGCAGCCGGTCGCAGGAGGCTTAAAAACCGGTCTTGTCTCACTCGGTCAGAGTCAAACTCAAATGTGTGAACGGCCCCTTAAGGTAACCTATATATTTCGAATAGTAAATATATTATATGTTCACACCATTGTACACTGTTTTTCTTTTTTTTTTTTTTTTCAAGACATTGGTTTTTGTGGCCGTCGCGTATTTGAGCTCACTTTGGTTAAGTATTAAACTATAACTTTTTGTATCCACCGAGTTTTGAGTGTTTTGGCGTTTTGTATCGTGTCGAATGAAATGACCACGTTTACTGCGATATATTTGTCGTTCCATTTAAAAATAAAGTGGGTGGGATGCGAGACGCTAGCCTCAGAGAGCTCGTCCGAGGCTAGTGTGTCAAGTCTCAGGTGCTTTATTTTTGTAAGGAAGAAGTCTGTGATGAGACGGCCGAGCTCACCGTTTAAAGAAAGGTTACAACTAATGGCGAAAAGTAGAAGCAAGCCATGTTACCCTCTAAAATATCTCAAGCATGTACGCCTATACTAATAGTTACAAATATTCACGTTACAGTGGAACTTATAAAACAGAGTCATACTAAAATTCGAAAATGTGCACCTATGCCATAGATTACCGAGCTTAGAGTGTACTATTATTAGGACTTGTTGTTTACTTACAAAAAAAAAAGCTAGTTAAATCATTAGCAGTAAAAATAATGCAGGAAAGAGTTCCTATCCTAAGTATTCCAGATTTTTAGTACCTGCCAGGACTTAATTGCTAAATGAATTCCCTAATGTGCTTCATTTCTAATTCACTATTTCAATATTTAACTTTGTGTTTTTGTACCAACTAATGAGAATGATTTAAGCCCCAAGAGGAGATAATTGTCAAAGTAAAAAAAGGATAATTAACAATTCAGTCACCTCAAATTCACAAAATGTGGTTTGCAGTGTTACAGTGAAAAATCACAAATAGCGTTTGCAGCATCTCACGCGTTTCAAGTGGAAACGGGTTCGGTAGCAAGTTATCGCTAGCCCATCTTACATCGTCGCATTACCCAAGGGTCAAGAGGTAGAAAGGCGCACCGCACTCCGCTCCTATGGTCTGCGGCTTTTTGTTTTCTAAGTTCCGATATGGAACTCTAGACATCCTAACATCGTGATTGAGAAACCCACAGAAAAAAAGTTTGGTATTCCAAATTATTGAAACTGGTGCCATGATTATAGAATTTCATCTTTTAATTATAGCATTTTATTGATTCCGACTAACCTTCAATCTTCTGGTTGCGAAACACTTGGAATGAATCATCTATTAACTTAAGAAATTGACTCATTATAGAAGTAATATTCGAAACGTGTACTTTGCGGATCCTCTTTTTGTCAGTACGCTAATAATTCTGTGACCCTATGCCAGATGAAATACCGTTCAATCTTCGGAAAAATAAAGATACAATATTTATAAGGAGAATGTTAGTATGAATAATCAAGATTAAGCCAATTATAAATAATGCATCTCAATAATATCCTAATTAAATAAATGCCGTTCGCTCGTAGGTGTACGGAATATTTAGTTTTAGATGCTTAATGACTGCGTTGCCTTCTTTGTCGTTATTTATTAAAAACATTTAATGGGCCTTTTTTGTTTTCTGATTCGGTTCAAATTTTGGTGTACTTTTAAGCAGTGGGTGACATTCTGGAGATAATCCCAGTTGTTATTTAGTAAAGACGCATAACAAAATAACAACGTTTAATTAATGGTTGGAAGAAACGTGTTGCTCTCGCAGGTATAAATTCAGTTATAATTAGATTGAAAATCCACATACACAAGTTGAAAAAGGGCTCCGCCGTATTCGCATAAGATGTTCCCCTTCTTATTCAATTGATTATAAAACTTTATGCAAGAGCGACGCACGGGTTGCCTATACTAACGAGTAGAGTAAGGCACTTGTGTGTGTACTTCGGCAAGATATTTTACATGCATTGTGATACAGTCGGCTGGAATTCCATAAGTCCAAATTCTGCATTCGTCTTGACCACAAATGCGTCTCATGCATCATTGCTCAAAATAACTAAATTGCCTGTGCTTCTATCGCCAGACGACACTAACGTTATCATGACGGAATGTCCGCAAACATCCAGTCACTCCTGTTATATTGTGCTGAGGACATGCAACACACCTTTGGCATTCAATTTCCCAATAAATTGACGTAAGAGCGAAAAATTCTCGACGAAATTTATAAACCGAAATAGGTTTAGCTAAAATATTATAAATGCGCCTCTAAGAATTACTCTCTACTCAAGCTAAAATCTCCTCACGAACCCAAGCTACAAAAAGACGAAGAAATGCTGGCATGCATGTAACCATTATAATTATGTTTTAAATATGTATAAACTGAAGCAGGGGTTCCGCCCGCGGCTGTTTGGGAATCGGCCCCGAAGTGTCTTGTGGCCTGCGAGGTCCCGTTCATACATGCATCGAGCGCTGCATGCGCCATAAATAATGACCTTTCGTCGTCGATTCAATTACACCGAAAAAGTAGCGCTGATCGTTGGAAGTCTTAACATAATTGGCAGTAATCTGTTTTCATTTAGATACATAGATGTTTCGTATTTAGTACCGTTAAGACGTAAGTATTAGTTTATACACCTTTTTAGCCGCCATCGTATGGGAGCTGCTATCTTAGGATCACGTGACGCGGCCGTTATAAGGTGCTTCAACTCGTCGCTCTGCTCTCCCCACCTCTGCTTTACAACGGCGTTGTATTCGTGTTTTTTCTTCACGTTTCACCGCGTTTCTCACCCTACATTGTAAGGTGTCGTCCGAGGCTCATATTTACTACCCAATTGAGTGCAATTATTACCTTTAGCAGTTAACTTTGTAACACGTTTTGCGTAATTTCACCGCCGGCGTACCGGAAGGTGTGAGGAGGGAGGGGTCACAAACATGAGCCTTAGCCCTGGGGCACATTGAGCCCAATTACTTATGACAACTCAGGTTTGCTCAAACAATAGTGGCAAGACATTGGAAATAGCGGCAGTAGCGCAATGTATATTTATATTCAAGCTTTAAATATCTTAAGAAAACCGACTAAATAAATCAGCGAAAGGATCAACTTTGTATGTTCCCTGAAAGCACCCTGCTCTGCCTTCTTAACGAATCGAAACAGATGCTTTTTATTGTATGGGACCACCCGAATTGTGGAGATAGGTAGCGAACGCTTAGCATACATTTTATGAGATTCTAGGTATATTTTAACGCCTACATCATGGGGTTTGTTTGCACGTGACATTACATAAAAATGTGTTAGACGGTGTTAATTGTTTTTGCGATGCAAACAATCGCTTGATCTATTTTTTTTTACGAATTTAAATAAACTGTACACCGTGCTCGCTGTCATGTCGCTGTCGTTCTGGGTGTTAACAAATCTCTAAGACAAAATCCAATCATATCACCACAAACGTCAGAACTATGCCGGTGAAAAACTCACAGACACCTTGATAGTGCCTAAGGGTGGTAATATGTGATGCAGAAAAGAAGCCGTCTGAGTGGAAATCACGCCGGTGCAGCGCTGTCGATGTTATATAGCTATTTAGTTTTTACGGCTGGTAACCCCGAAATGTACAAAGCGCATCTGTTTTAATAAAGATCTGCATACAAAAGTCCATGAAAGGGTGCGCTTAGCATTTGACTTCAGCCAAACATGCCGGAAATCACTTCCTTTAATCACTTCAATTTTATTCCGCTAGCATTACGCAAGACAAATGTCATACATCTCTTGACGCAAGATAAATGTCAGACAATTATCTTATTCCCATCCTGAGTAAGCCAATATGTGAAAAAACAGTTTACTTTCTAATGACAATATTGTAAATTGCTGATAATTAATACTTTAGCACAACCAACACTTAATGAAATTTCCCACCTCAACCTAGGGTGGACAATCTAAATATTAAACGAGGCAATATTACATTTTTTTAATCACGTGCGTTATTACAGCAGAAACGTCTAGTCTCTAAAGAAAAACAATAGATGTACGCGAATATAAAGTTGTAATGAGTGAGCCTGCGACTAGTTCCTCCCGATTCAGCACATTGTTGTTCAGGTTGACGGCCTGCCCTTTTACTACGTATCTTTAAAGTAGTCTTTTCATGTTTCTTTAGCTAGTGTCAGCGGGCACTGCTGTAGACGATGGTAATCCTGACTGTGCACCATGTGTTTCGTTTCGCAACTGAACCTGACCAAAATTCTGACCAAAATTAATGACGAACGTCAGCAGAGACGTCATTAAGTCTTTCTGAAGAAGTCAGCCGTGACTCGAAACAACTTCGTAGTCCTCAACGTAGCTCAGCCCCACTTATTAATTGGTTGTGTGCTACAACGAACACATCTTTCTTACAAAATTAAGCGGAAATGATTTAAGACACCCATACAGCTGCGAGTGCGCTAAAGCCGAAACCAAGTTAATTGAAGCAACCCAGTGGCCGCAGGTTGGCCAGCACTTTCTCGCTGCGGGCGGGGTAACATCTACTGATATCAAAAAAGTCTGTACTTTTATAAAAATCGCCAGGAAAGCAATAACTACCCAATAAAAAGATTTTTCTCAAGTCATATTAAACCCGGATAATTCCCAAGTAATTTGAGCGACATAGTGACAATTTCGTTCTTGATTTCTTGTTTCGTTGACAAATCTCGACGTCTTAGCGTCATGGTGGTATTTTAAATATTCAAATTACACAAGGTAAAAACTACGCCATCCTTACTTTTAGGCTTTTCTTGCCCTAAAATATTTTAAACATCTCCCCCTTCCCCGCCCTATATTGTCCCTTGACATTTCAGGGGTGGGCTATCTGGATGAGTTTCAGACCTCCGAACTATGGCATCACGCTCTGCATTATTTCTTTGTGATTGTAGGAACCGACCAGATCGAACCTTCGATGTTTTGTTTCTAGTAAAATGTTAAACTCTAATCTGATTATTTCAAGCAGCTGCTTGAAACAGACAGTTTGCCGTAAAAATCAACTGTCAAAACCGAAACCACCTACCTTTTGGTGTCTGATTTTATGCATCCCATTTTTTTAGTGCCACTGAATCTATTCATTCTATCAAGGTACTATATTTTGGTCCGTATAAAAGCACAATTGAAGTAACATACATTCTTACCTGCAATAGTCAATGCAATTTTCTCTGTGTTTAAAATTATTTCCAGTTTTATAAATTCCTTTATAAACAAATGTTTCACACTGGTTTGTCTCATTATTATAGTACCATCGTGTCAAATGTTTTCTTCCGAATCCGGGATTATGTTGCTGCCAGCATCTACGTCGTGTTTGATCTATGAAAAGGGGTGATATTTCAATTCCTAATTTACGTGACAAACGAAAAAGGAATAAAAAAAAAATTCCCGACATATTGAGACGAGTGTCATTGTTGATCGAGTTTAAAAAAAAATGTAGGTAATTTTTGTTCCTGCGGTTATAGCTTTATGAAATAACGTTACCCACTAACATATTATAATATGTGCATCATGTCTTAAATACTCGCTGCTTTTTCAAGTGGTAATTTTTCAAGCGAGAAGAAATAGGAAAACAAAATTGCAAGAATTCTTTCAAGTGTTCGCAGTGAATGCATAAAAACAAACAAAAGTAGAAAAAAGCGGAGCTTTATGACAACTAATTGAACAAGAAATTTGGATTGAGCGTTGTTGGTTATAAAAATCTAGCGATCTAAAACGGTGGAAATTACGCACGCACACACGTAAGACATATGTGTGGTCATGTACGCACGCACCGACACAGCCGCTCCCGAGAGAACGTTTCTCCGCTCGACTCGAAAGGCCCCTGAGAGCTTCGTAGCTTCGCATTACCTCACCCGACTCAGGTGCTGCGTCGTTGGCGGGTGTTGCCGCACCCCTACATCAGTTCCGCGCAATATCCATTACATAACGTTGGATAATATCCTGGCAATCTCACCCTTGCACAGCGGGCTTTGTCGTCTGACTGCCGTATTGCCTCGCGAATCCTTCGCACGAGGGTATTAAAGAATACGGCTGGAGACGACACAGGAGATGACTTGAAAACAGCAGCCGGGACAGACGCCGACATCGCGTCTTCATTATTATTCTAAATTTTGCCGTGTTAAATCAGTTAACTAAATAAAAGTTAGCGTTCTTAGCAACCATTCCAGACCACTTTAACTTCGGAGTTAAAGCAAGTAGGCAGGCGACGTGGTTAAGGATAGACATAGTGATTCTGGGGCTAGGGGACAAGAAGGGACTAACATACACGAAACTCCCACGAAACTCCGACGTCGGAGTTTCATATCTGCCCGTGCCTTTTTGTACCCCCGCTCCAGGATTACTATGTCTATGTTTAACTTCCGAGTCCGGTCTGGAACAACCCAAGACTCTCCATATGTATGTACATAATTTGTAAGTTAGATGAAGGCCGACTTCCTTTATTTTTAGTTAAGCCGCCTTTAGCCCACGTGTGAGACTTGATAAAAATAGTGTACAGAGATGTGATTGTAAGACTTTTTGACTCCTCAACGCTGATAGCGGCGTTTTTTTATAACGACCTACAATGAGTGATTAGAGTAACTGAGATATTTCCTTATTTTTATTCTATCGAACAATAAATAATTATACTTACCTGGCTGGCAATATTCGATACAATCTCCCATGGAAGGAAAGAAGTTGTCGCCGCTTTCGTAGCAGTTGGCAATGCTGAATTCTTTACACTTCTTCGCATCTTTGTGATAATGGTATCGGACGAGGTTGCGGCGTGTATTGCAATCCGGAAGCGTAGTATTCGGGACGCTATGGCAAAGCTCTTTTGACATTCCATTCCGGGCATTTGAAGTTACTACTGAAAGACGCAGACATAAGTACTTGAACTGGAAGGTGTTTTGTGTCTGGTACATGTATCTTTCACGTGAAGTGGTGTAGTTTTATTTTCAGTTCTCAATTTATTGACACAATATGGTACGAGAACCAACTAGCCCAAGCATACCTTTTAGCAAGTTACGAGAACATACACATATAGTCTCATACTAAATAGATGCGTCTAAAAAGATGAGAGAAAATATAGATTTATATTACTATTACAAATCAGGTTGGAGACATGCACCTAAAATATTATATCAATATATTATAAACATTTGCGTATAAAAAGCTGAGATAAAATACATATTTCTATTAAAAATAATGTTACAGAATCAGCAACAAGCCAGGCTTCAGTTGCCTTCCAGTAGCCAGAAAAAGACAATTAAAAGACATGGGTTAATCAACACAAATGTTGTCACGGGTGTTATGTCGTATTTAGTACAACGTTAACACGTGATAATTAGCAAACAAAAGCAGATAGACGGACACGCGGCGTGGCTCTGCTTACCAACACGGCCGGAAGGCCGGGCATCCATAGAAGCTATGTGGACAGAAGCGGCCAGGCTCTTCGCGTTTTCGCCAATGCGTTGTGTGGCGTTTGCACGTTGATGACTTTGTAGAGACTATTCTAGCTTTATTTGTGCGTCGTATTTTCTGCCAATGTATGTCGCATGTTATGTCCGGCTCTTCGAGCTCGCTACCCGAGCCTGAACAGAAGTGGTATCGAAGCAAACTGTGCGTGGACGGCGTTGCCTTGGACGATCCGTACGCCATAAACAAGGCCTGCTGGAGTTCCGACGTGAACTTGCTGCCGCCAACGTTGATTGCTCGCGTCGTCGTTTGTTTAGAAATTTCGCCGAGCCAGTTTACGGCCGACATGGTGCAGGCGTATAAGTTTCTCGAGGTCTACGATTACTTCGAGACGATTTCCGCTCGGCCGGAGGGATCAGCAGACTGTGGGTCGGCAAAGTGTACTTATTAATTGATTAAATACAGTATGTGTCCTTCAATGATATTTTAATGCGAAAGCATCAAACTGTCCTATTGAGCGAGCCGACGTCATCAGCCGCGCCAAACGGCAGATAAATTCCCGAAGCCGCGATCTGAGGCATCCCTGCTTTGAAGGCACGCAGAAAACAACGCAAATCGGGAGTGATATGAAGCCGCCGCGCGTCAGTTTCAATTAGCGCCACCCCATGGCGCTGCGTGACCGCGAGGCAGCGGCTCCACCACTCCACGCCCAAGGTCAGCGTGGCGAGGAGAGCGGCGAGTTTGCGCTCTCGACTGTCGACGCAAGTACACCGCAGCCAAAATAAGGGAGCGGACGAACGGCATGCATGCTTTCGGATTCACAGCTCATAAGAAGTGCTTAAATATACCTCGAGACTTTCCGTACCCTCATGACCACAAGGCACGAGAAGCGGTAACGCTTTGTCTGTTTTGCTGCCGATCACCATCCGCTTGGTAGCACGAGTGTAGCGAGACAGCGACAAGCGCTTGGCCGGTGCTTTGTGCGCGAACACCGTGGGAACAAAATCCGGGTGGTCTCAATCAGACGACGGTTTCCTTGCCCATAAAGGGGTGTCCAAACAGGGCACTACAAAACGCACGACTCCGACAAATCGTGAAAATTGAAGCGGACGCTTCTATTTTTACGATTTGTCGGAGTCGTGAAAATGTTTGCAGGAGCCGTGAAAATTTTCACAATCACGGCTTCTCTCCTCGCCTCCTCCACTTTTCTCTGACGTTACACGCCACCTGCGTCTGGCTCACCTCGCCAACGCCCTCGCGTACCGCCGTCGCCTCGGCTCGAAGGCCAAGGAAGTCCGGCTTCGGGTGGATTTGGGACATTCCTGCGTCGAAGGGTGCGTTTCGCCCGCCTCGGATCAGCTTTCTTTGTCGAGATTCACTTTCGTCGTGATGGCGTCCGACGCGGTTCCGTATTGTGAGCGGGGGCCTTGACCGATTGACTGACAGCCAACAGAGCGAGTGAGTGGCTCTCTGGACCCACGTGATAAGCAGAGCAAGGCCACCGTGGAGGAAGCGAGGGGGACATTTGTCGGAGGGAAGATTCCACCCGGGAGCTTTGACGGAGGGAAATTTCCCCCCGACGGCCGGAAGCGGAGCGCGGCACGATTTGCCGGAGTCGTGAGTTTTGTAGTATCCTGTTTGGACAGGCCTTAAAGGGGCAGTCAAGTGGCTTTTGAGTTCGTGTTTTGATAATGACAGCTGAATTTAGACGCCTTAAGTATCCCTAAAAACCAAAAAGTATAGTCATACGGTGATTATTTCTTTAATAAAAATGTAATTGAAAGCCGCCAAACCTCGGATCCATCCGAAAACGAAACCACTCTCATTGGTCGTCGCACGCTTATCAAAAGGATCTCGGGCCAATGGCGTTGGACGACGTTCCGTCGCGCAGTGATCCCGAGGTAGCCGCATCGGCCGAACCTCTTTGTCATTCGAGCTTCGATCATGGCGGAGTTCTCTGCGCTCGAGGACCTGACGCCGTTAGAGGTTGAAGTTCTTCGGCGGACAGCCGACCTGGGGATGATTTCCTATGACGCCACTCCGACGTGCGATGTGGACGATAGCAGCGCTTCGGAGTCATGTTCGGGTTCCGAGGACGACGAAACGCAGACCTTTTCGGGCGTTCTTCGATTTGCGGTTGGGGCAAGTCGTAACCAAACCAACGTTGGACATCGCAGCGTTACCTCTGGTGCGTGATGTTAAACGACGTCGCCACGTTCACTTTCACCTCGGGAGTACGGGGGGAAGGCTGGTTCAGACATGTGCAACGAGCGCGTACCTACGACTGCGTCCGTTGAAACCGGAGCGACCGGAACGACCGCACTGCGCCGCGCGTACACACACCTGTAACCACTACAACAAGCGCAGCGGGTCGTCAGCACGGCGACCGCTTCTGTACGCCGCCGTCAGCTGTGTCAGCGGCCCCTCTAAAAAAGGGGACGCACGGCTACTCAATGCCGTAACAGAATATAGACAGACAGTTTTCTAGTCTAAAGCTTTATTATTTTTTTTTTTGATAGGCTTGCAGGGTACAGCGAATGAAAAAAATAAAATAAAAAGATGCAGCGCCGTCTTGGACGATCACGACTCTAATACACGACATTGCAATAGTACAAATATCACCACACGTCTTTTCTACGATTATAAAAGACAATGTACTCTTAGCAGCGATATAGCAACGTAGAAATATGATTTCGTGATCAGATAGACGTTGCGAGCGTTCAGGATTGCTAACACTAATCACTTTTCTCCGGTGATGAAAACGCGTGAAAATTCGTATGCTTTATACGGTACGCGCCAGTAATACCTTGAACTTGAGCACACGCATGAAATGCGCCAAATCAGAAATCCGGGCGATGTTCGAGGACACAAATGCTTAGAAAGCACCACTGTAGTCGAAGTAAACAAACACGACGGCACGGGCGTTTCTGCTATCTTGAGAGTGCCGCCACGACATCGCCGCACGAGTAGGTGGATCTTCCCTTCTAGTACGTGCTGGGTTATCATAGCGAAACACGACGAAAATTCACAGTCAAGGATAGCGCTTTTACGCGGAACGATGAGCTTTCACCAGGCCGTCCATTCCGACGATCACCACCGACGCCACGTTTGCGGATAGAAGGAGCCGGCCGGCCCGCGACCGGCACGACCGGCCTGCAACGCGCGGAGATACGTGCGCTTCCGCGCATCCCTGGGGAACGGGAAACTCACCCCCCGCGGAGGAAGGCAAATAGAAAACGTAGTCCCTTGTTTGTGAAACGATAATTGCGCTATCGCGTATTCTAAACTAGAAATATTTTACGTCTTGTGAAATTATCATGCACAACATATTTAAATGAACTGAAAATTGTTTTTTAGCGAAACTTTAAAAAGACCGCCAAAATTTTCAAACATACGATAATTTCATTTGTCCTCGCAAGTACAGAAAAGAGTCCGCACGTATTTTATTCCTGCGTGATTAATAGGCGTTTCTGCCTTCTAAAACTGAAGATACTCATTCACTGACACTTCCTTAACACCATCGCACCAAAAAGTAGCTTCTCCAAAAACCGCTTGAGTGTCCCTTTAAGGAAGTCTCGGGGACGGAGATGGAAGCCACACTTGCCTCCAATGAAGTGCTTGCCGCTCAAACAGTCGTCCGCGCGAGGCGATCATTGTTTTCTCTCCACGTACACTATCCACGTTCTGCGCCTTTCAGAGTTCGACGGGAACATGTGGAAACTCACTCCACTACTCTTGCTGTACTTTTCGGTGCAATTAACTTCTACACAGCTTTGCGGCTTGCGTAAATGCTTTGACGTCCACGCGAAACTTGCGACCTTCTTCTGCCCACATCACCTCGCTCCGGCGCGATCGCGGTGCCGCTGTAGCTCCGCGGCATCAAGCCGGCGTGTCGGTCTATAAAGAACTGCGACATGTTAACTTTCTTATGCTCACTACTCTAAAATGTGTTGAACAATAGCACCGCGATAATTATTTCCTAAATGAATCGGTGCACATATAGGCACAATTTAATTTCAGGCTGCTTTCTACGGAAGCGTCATACATTAAATTTTCTTTATTTACCTTTAGAGCCAATCTATAAAAAAGAAATACTACATAGCGCGAGAAACTTGGAGTGAAATTTAGATATGGCGGCGTCTTTCAGCTGACTCGTTAGAATCTGTAAGGCGTATCCTTATAGATATTCGTACATTGCAGAAGATAAAACCAACATTCTCAACAAAGCACTGCTAACATAACATAAAACATGTTAACTCTAAAATATGTAGCTTAAATTTAGAAGATAAAGCGAAATCAATATCTGTCATTTTTTCTTTAATATTGCCGCGTCCATTACCAAGAGAAACGCTCCTCTGTGCTCTATAGTCCTTTGCAACTCAAGAGGCTAGGGCGCGGTTAAGGCATATCGGGGAGGAGGAAGCAGACGGAACGCTGGAAGAGCGACGCGGAAACCTCCTTCTGTCTTTAGCGTTCCGTCTGCTTCGCCCTCCCCGACCCGTCTTATCCTCGCTCTACCTACTCAGCGGAGTATAGAAGATTCGTGTTTACCTCTACCCAGAGTATTTGACGCTCAAACATTCTAGACAGAATATACAAGATACCGAGTGTACAAGCAGGCAATATTACCTTGCCAAGTCAGTCTCGCCCTCTTAGAAAAAAAAAGGTATCGATAGTCCTCCCTAAGGGGAGGAAGGGTTTGTAACCTATGCTCCCTCAGAAAGGGAGAAACCTTCGTCCCTGAAGCAGGGGAGCAGAGTTCCTCTGTCGCTTGCACCTCATTATGGCGGCCCCGAATCGAGCAAATCGAGCTCCATAAGGCTTTACGAGGACGCTACGTCTCTTGTACGCGACGAGAGGAGCAGCAAATAAAAGCGTAACACGAGCTTTCTGCGAACTTGCGTTTCAAAAGCAGTTACTCAGCCTTCTCGTCGTCAGCACTGCGATGTTAAACGGAGATAGCCGATACGCACTTACTTCGCGCACTTTACGTCTTACCTTTGCTAATGCTCGAGTTGCAAATCCTTTGTCAACCGCACATCACAGAGGAATGGCAAACTAATCCGCGAAACCAAAAGCCGCTCTCAAAAGAACAAACTCGAAGACGCTGTTTTCATCGCTTAACGTGAAAGAAGGTTATATCGCTTGCCACCAGATGGCAGGGGCAAGCAGAATAATTGCAAATATCTAGGCTAGTTGTCGCTAGGTGCCACCCAGTTCATGTTTTGTGACGTCATCACCTACGGGGTCAATTGTGCGCGCAAAGTGGAAGTGAATATAAAAATACAACGGCAACCTGCAGAAACATTAGTCTAGCAAACATGGTTCAGATGTGTGTGTCGCAATGAAACTAAGTAGAGTTAAATGTGAATTCATTCAAAGTGCCACTGCTTGGAGTTAGATGGAAATGAATAAATATATTTAAATTCTCAAGTCTTGTATTTAGAAAAAGTGCTCTAATATGGTGGCTTGTTTCTGTGTGCGTGAAGTACGTATTGTGTAAAGAGAAGAATACGATGCTATATCCGGCTACAATAGTGTTTTATTTTATTATTATTTCAATTATTCAATAAGCCTTTTTCTAAAACAAATGTATAACAAAAAGTGCTTAACAATAAAACTGTCAGGGAACGATAACATGCGATAAAAATTAGAAACCATCATTATATCACGTTTAATGTTTCATCACAGAAATTGGAACGTCACAATTCAGAAGTTATAATCACTTCTTGATCACAATCACATAGAATACCAAAGTAGTTTTAGTTTAAGGTGTCTCCTTGCTAAGCTGGTTAAGTTGACCG